TTTCAGAACTGGAGAATAAAAGTTACATTCTTAGCTGTTTTTGTTAGTACGTGAACGTTATCTTACATTTTATCTCCCCAACAGATTAATTTGAAATAAGTTTATAATGCATGTTGGCTATTCCCAATTCAGAAGAGCGCACACACAGCCTGTGTCTGTGAATGCTTCTCATACTCGCTCCTCTCTGCCCCACGCGGCGTGAATCCCACGTCACGGACGAGCCGTTTATGCTTGCCGCACTCACGCAGCCTGTCTCGTAATGCTCGTTTATACTCGCACCCGGCTCCGCACCGCTAGTCTTCACGAGCGCATCTGGCAGTATGGATGAGGCTTGACGCACACGCGCAACCTGTGTCGACTCGCGGCTGGCTCCGCGTTTAAAACGAATGTAAATTCAGTCTAACTGCTTGCTAATTTCACTTGGATGAAATGAAACATTCAGCACATTTTCCACTTGTTCTTAAAATCCCAAATACTTAAAATGAATAAATCAGCCTATGTAACATATGTAATACTTTAATAATTGACTTAAGAAATACAGTTCATTTATAAAAAATAAACAAATATTTTCTGTGAAATTCAGTAACTAAGTTAATTCTGTAAAAGTAGTTTAAAAAAATAAAAATAGAACCCCTCCCAAAACACAATAAAACATTTAATGGATTTCAGGGTTATAATGGGAATTTGTTTGGTTTTAATGTAAACTATAATGGTGTCTACTAGTATTTGATGGATTCTATTGGTGGGATGTAATCTGGCAGATGGCAACCAATAGAACAACAGTAATTCCTATTGGAATAATGCCAAAAACAAAAAGGAATTTTGTAATGGTTTAATGGAAACTATAAGAATTTCTGTGATAGTTTCTATTGTTTTTTTCAGCAGGGTAATGATACCCATACTGTGCTGCACATTATTGACAATATTGAGCTGAAGCTTGACTTTGCAAATTTAAAATCGCAAATCAAATCGCAATCGCAATATCCGTCAAAAAAAATCGCAATTTGATATTTTCCCCCAAATCGCACAGCCCTACTGTCAAGCTGACATGACTTTTCGGCACAAGTGAGAGCACAACACATACCGGTACTTATAAACCGCACACATGCTCTCACAAAGTTAAATCCACCTACTTGACTTACTGACACTTTCTATTCCGTGTGATGCTTCATTAACATGATGCTATCTATAGCATTGTGTCTATACAATGCTGATTCTCTGTCATTTTCGGTATCATAAATTGTGATATAATTTAACAAATTTTGAACTTAACTTGTGAAAAAAATATCAGTAAAAAGATTCAAACTTTGTATTTTGATAAAGCCTTAGGTTTAGTATCATAACCCTCTCATATTTAATGCACTCTTTAAAATGAAGGAGAAACAGCAAAAGCAACTGGGCTGAAAGTTACGGCATGAAACCAAGAAAAGCTCACAAGAACTGGGCTGAGAGTTCAAATGGTTCATTCATCTGTATTGTCCCATATGTCAAGTTCATGTGTCTATTGAACAAAATTGGTTGAGTACAAAATGTTCAAAATAAGTATTTTCACAGTGCAGTATCATATATCCCTTTGTCACTCTTAAAGGGGTCATATGATGCGATTTCAATTTTTCCTTTCTCTTTGGAGTGTTACAAGCTTTTCATTTTTCTAGATTTTAGGATTATTTGATGAAAAAACAGTAAAAAAATGTTTTATATATTTTATATATAAAAATGAAATATTAATTTATTTAAAGAAAAAAAATTAACAGTACTACACCTTACATATTCCAAGCTTGTGAGTTGTGTTTGCATTTCCTTTTTATATGAAAAGTAAAAAATGGTCAAAGCTTACTTTTGTATCGGCAATGTGCAAATATAATGAACTAATATTTATTTATTATTATATGGTCTGTATTTTGGGGTTAGGTCTTAATCTGATCTTGACTTCAATTTGTTCACATTAAAAAGCTGTTTTTCCTTTAAAATGACAGGTTTTGTCCCATCATTCTTTCTTCATAGCCATGTATATGAACTGTTTCTGCATAATGTGTGCTGTGAATTATTGCTGTTGTCTTGTTTGCAGAAGTCAGCATTGCTGGGTCCGACCCAACAAGCCCCCTTCTCAGCAGCAGTGATGCAGATGATTGGTGGGGCCGTAAAAGCAGCCCTAGCCTGGGGGGGGTCTGGCTGCGGACCACGCTGATGTCATATGTTTGATCAGCTCATCTGGGTCATTGTTCTAACCAAACCCCCCTTTAGTTCCAGCTCATTTGGTGCCTTCCTGTTCACACACTATAAGAGAATGCAATGTGCAATGCATTCAAAGTGCATGTCAATCTGTGAAAACTAATTAAAACATCCCTTTGTATTCCCATGGGGTGAATTTATTAGTCATGCAGTCTCAACTTCTCTGATGAATATGGCATACGGTGATTACTTTAACTGTTTTACCAAATATTATAATCTGTTTATATTCTCTGAGCCCTAACTAGTCCTCTCACAACTAGCTTTTTATGGGCCTGCCCCAGTTTGTGTTCTCTCGGGGTGTGTTTTAATAAGGATTGATCTACATCCTGCTCATTCTGTCTGACCACACACATGGGTGCGTCCCAGCGGACCATCCATCCTGGATTCACTGATGGGGAATGGCTTTAAATATGTATTGAGTGTTTATATGCTCTGAATATGAAATAGAGTGTTTGCCCAGCTATTGCCACTCACTCATTTACCCACATTGATTTACATGCCAATGGGATCAGCTAATAAAATGCAACACCATAATTCATAAAAGCACAAAATGTCTGAGAGTCTGCCTGAGGAATTGTATTTTATATATACCTGTATATAAAAACAGTTTTTAAAATTGTTTTTGAAATAAGTTTCTTATGCTTACCAAGGCTGCATTTATTCTTTATGATTTATGAAAAATCAATAATATTGTGACATATTATTACAGTTTAAAATAATTGTTTTTTTTAAAAAATGTATTCTTATCAGCAACTTTGGTGCTGAATAAACATTTCTTATGATTATCAGTGTTGAAATCATGTTGCTGCTTAATATTTTTGTGCAAACCGTGATGCATTGTTTTTTCAGGGTTCTTTGATGATTATGAAGTTAAAAAAACAGCATTTATTAGAAACAGAAACCTTTTGTAAATTATAAATGTCTTCACTACACTTTTGATCAATTCAATGAATCCTTGCTGAATAAAAAAAATCACATTTTAGCTGCTTATCATTAAAATAACCCTACTTGAAGGGTCTTTTCCCTTGTCCATTTCAAACCAGTCCATGTTATTTTATTTATTACTTTGCAAGATTTTAGATTTTTATTTATTTTTTTTATCTTTAGAATGCTTTGTCTCAATCCACCATAAGGGAAAACAGCAGCAGTCACTCTTGTGGTCTTTAGAGCTGTGATTTATTGCTGCATATTGATCTCTGACTCTCTCTGAGGGATTCAGAAAATTACGTTCAATATTGTATATTGATTTGCTAAACTCAATTGGAATGAGAGGCTCATCCTCTTCTATTTAGATCTTTGAATGTACTGTAAACATGTATTTTTTTTTTACTTTTTAGGAGCATCACTGCAGTAGATGCCCTGCCTCTGATACTCAATGATGTAAGAGAAAGGAAGTCAAACACCTAACATGGCTAATCCAGCTCTGGAAACTAGAGGCACAGCTTAACCGAATCAGAAGAGAGGGATCAGACACCTGAAGAGAGAGAGAGAATGGAGATGGGATACTAAAAGGGGGTGTGTCAGGCAGCAAGTGTGTGTGTCCCTGCAAAAAGCATAGATGGGTATGTGTGTGTGTTAGAGAGAGAGAGAGAGAGAGAGCACTAAAACACACACGCGTGCGCAGGCACAGACAGGATCAAATCTTTTCTGCTGCAGGACGGGAGGCAGAAGGATTACTCCTATTTTAGACTCTTCATCCATGCGTCCCGGGGTGAGCACATCTCTTCTGGCACAATCAAACTTTGTGTTTGTGCATGTATGTGTATGTGAGTTCAGTTGCTTTTGTGTGAAAATGTGTCACTGGATGCTGAAGAGAAGATGCATTAAACAGTGCTGCACTGGTTGGTAATGTAGACCAGCATCCCGCTCTCTATTGCTGAAATATAAATGATAAATGTTGCATGCACTTCGGGAGGCAAAAATAAGAGGAAAGTGTGTTGAGAATTGCAAAAAGGCGAGAAAAGAAAAGATTATTGTGAGTTAAGAAGCAGAGCTTGCACTGCAGCAGCTGTCAGATCATTTGACATAAATCTAAGCAGTCTAATGGAATTGCAAACTTCTGCAATTATGTTATTAATAAGGACTGATCCATGTTAATTATGCAAAATATACAGCATTTGTCTGTGTAAAAGTATGCACTGTGAAGTATTTCTGTGTGTTTGGTGGCTGTCCTGTTCTGTGAGGTACATTTTTTTCTGAGTTGGAGGGGATCAAATAAGACTGATGGTGTGTAAATTCAGAGCTCTGGCTGTAATATGCCACTCAACACTCAACCTTCAGTGCCACTGTTGGAGAACTAATATGTCCAATTTCATGTAAAGATACATATATTTGACATTAGAGATTCATGATATATCAGTACATTATCAGTTATATATGATACATTAAATAAAATAACAGATATTAGCTGATAACTGTTATATTATGCATCCCTAATTTCAGTATTATCAGATTTTTATTGGATATTTATTTTTAATATATTTTTTAAATAGTGCAGAATGTGAGAGTCAACTGGAGACAACTTGGTGATATTGTGAGGAGTAACATCTTCAGAGGAGTGTCAGCATGACCCCTCACAGTGAAGCTCTACTGCTGGTCTTCAGTGTCTCACTGTATGGTAGTCTGTGTGCTGCATCTTTAAATAGAAATGAAAGAGCCCACTTTTGGGCTAGCGTGGACCCAGAGCCAGCTACCAGCTCACCATGGACGTCTCGATCAACAGAAATGGACATGACAAGTCCAACCGATGTATTACATTCAGATGGGACTAGCAGAGACCTTGGGGTGGACCCTTCAGTTGATCAAAACTCCTATGTCACAATGGAGGATCATGGTTTGTCAAGACTTCCAGCCTCAAGAACACCATGGATCAAAACTTTGACTTCTACTCAGATTGAACCTCCTTCAGATATCCAGAACGATGAAGAGGGACCTCAAACAGAGGCATTTGATTGGCCAAATTTTAGTAAGCAAGGCAATATGGAACAATCTTTTAAATCATCTTCACTGGCAACACTACAGCCTTTTTCTTCTCAGGCCTGGAGTACCAAATCCAAGACACCTATTGCTTGGAATACAGAGACATACACACCTCAGAGTCCTGCTGAAACTAGATTTAGCACCTACCAGACACTGTGGAAGTCCTCTGGTGCTACTCAGACACCATATGCCAGAGGAACTTTAGATGGTACCACTTTGCCAAGAGGGCTGACAGACAATCTGCAGCCATCTGAGGAAACAAAGGATTTGACAGATGCTCCTGCAGGTAATCAAATTAATGATACATCAGAGCCAACTCTGAACATGATAGTGTGTGAATGTATATCTATGTACGAAATACATGCAAAACTTTGCAAAACAAAAAACTTAAATCAAATGATTTTCCATGTTGGATCATGACGATTCATGATGTTTTGGTGCTCATGACTGAGCATAACCATGCTTAACTGATAAAGCTGATATGTCAGTTTAATACAGACATCACTGAAAATAGTCATACAAATAATCACAATAATCATAGTAAGTCAATTGGTGTAACCATTCTGATGGATTCTGTTCAGTGAAGGAATTGTCAGACTGATTCAAACCAGTTACTTGGCTAATAATAGTAATTTGTTTGTGAATCTGACTCTGGTCGTGCTGTACGTTTTTGATTCACTAAAAAGAATCGGCTCATAAGAGTCACTTGGGCGTGAATCATACTACATGTGCACTGTATTTTTTTGATTCACTAAAAATATTTGGCTCATAAGAGTCATTTGTTCATGAATCGGACTACTTATGATGCTTTTGATTAACAAAAAAATCGGCTCAGGAGAGTAATTTGTTTGTGAATCTGATTACTCTGGTTGCACTGTATGTTTTTGATTCACTAAAAAGAATCGATCCATAAGAGTCATTTGTTCATGAATCGGACTACTTATGACACTGTATGTTTTTGATTCACTAAAAAAAATCGGCTCAGAAGAGAAATTTGTTTGTGAATCTGATTACTCTGGTTGCACTGTATGTTTTTGATTCACTAAAAATATTATAATCTGTTTATATTCTCTGAGCCCTAACTAGTCCTCTCACAACTAGCTTTTTATGGGCCTGCCCCAGTTTGTGTTCTCTCGGGGTGTGTTTTAATAAGGATTGATCTACATCCTGCTCATTCTGTCTGACCACACACATGGGTGCGTCCCAGCGGACCATCCATCCTGGATTCACTGATGGGGAATGGCTTTAAATATGTATTGAGTGTTTATATGCTCTGAATATGAAATAGAGTGTTTGCCCAGCTATTGCCACTCACTCATTTACCCACATTGATTTACATGCCAATGGGATCAGCTAATAAAATGCAACACCATAATTCATAAAAGCACAAAATGTCTGAGAGTCTGCCTGAGGAATTGTATTTTATATATACCTGTATATAAAAACAGTTTTTAAAATTGTTTTTGAAAGAAGTTTCTTATGCTTACCAAGGCTGCATTTATTCTTTATGATTTATGAAAAATCAATAATATTGTGACATATTATTACAGTTTAAAATAATTGTTTTTTTTAAAAAATGTATTCTTATCAGCAACTTTGGTGCTGAATAAACATTTCTTATGATTATCAGTGTTGAAATCATGTTGCTGCTTAATATTTTTGTGCAAACCGTGATGCATTGTTTTTTCAGGGTTCTTTGATGATTATGAAGTTAAAAAAACAGCATTTATTAGAAACAGAAACCTTTTGTAAATTATAAATGTCTTCACTACACTTTTGATCAATTCAATGAATCCTTGCTGAATAAAAAAAATCACATTTTAGCTGCTTATCATTAAAATAACCCTACTTGAAGGGTCTTTTCCCTTGTCCATTTCAAACCAGTCCATGTTATTTTATTTATTACTTTGCAAGATTTTAGATTTTTATTTATTTTTTTTATCTTTAGAATGCTTTGTCTCAATCCACCATAAGGGAAAACAGCAGCAGTCACTCTTGTGGTCTTTAGAGCTGTGATTTATTGCTGCATATTGATCTCTGACTCTCTCTGAGGGATTCAGAAAATTACGTTCAATATTGTATACTGATTTGCTGAACTGAATTGGGATGAGAGGCTCATCCTCTTCTATTTAGATCTTTGAATGTACTGTAAACATGTATTTTTTTTTTACTTTTTAGGAGCATCACTGCAGTAGATGCCCTGCCTCTGATACTCAATGATGTAAGAGAAAGGAAGTCAAACACCTAACATGGCTAATCCAGCTCTGGAAACTAGAGGCACAGCTTAACCGAATCAGAAGAGAGGGATCAGACACCTGAAGAGAGAGAGAGAATGGAGATGGGATACTAAAAGGGGGTGTGTCAGGCAGCAAGTGTGTGTGTCCCTGCAAAAAGCATAGATGGGTATGTGTGTGTGTTAGAGAGAGAGAGAGAGAGAGAGCACTAAAACACACACGCGTGCGCAGGCACAGACAGGATCAAATCTTTTCTGCTGCAGGACGGGAGGCAGAAGGATTACTCCTATTTTAGACTCTTCATCCATGCGTCCCGGGGTGAGCACATCTCTTCTGGCACAATCAAACTTTGTGTTTGTGCATGTATGTGTATGTGAGTTCAGTTGCTTTTGTGTGAAAATGTGTCACTGGATGCTGAAGAGAAGATGCATTAAACAGTGCTGCACTGGTTGGTAATGTAGACCAGCATCCCGCTCTCTATTGCTGAAATATAAATGATAAATGTTGCATGCACTTCGGGAGGCAAAAATAAGAGGAAAGAGTGTTGAGAATTGCAAAAAGGCGAGAAAAGAAAAGATTCTTGTGAGTTAAGAAGCAGAGCTTGCACTGCAGCAGCTGTCAGATCATTTGACATAAATCTAAGCAGTCTAATGGAATTGCAAACTTCTGCAATTATGTTATTAATAAGGACTGATCCATGTTAATTATGCAAAATATACAGCATTTGTCTGTGTAAAAGTATGCACTGTGAAGTATTTCTGTGTGTTTGGTGGCTGTCCTGTTCTGTGAGGTACATTTTTTTCTGAGTTGGAGGGGATCAAATAAGACTGATGGTGTGTAAATTCAGAGCTCTGGCTGTAATATGCCACTCAACACTCAACCTTCAGTGCCACTGTTGGAGAACTAATATGTCCAATTTCATGTAAAGATACATATATTTGACATTAGAGATTCATGATATATCAGTACATTATCAGTTATATATGATACATTAAATAAAATAACAGATATTAGCTGATAACTGTTATATTATGCATCCCTAATTTCAGTATTATCAGATTTTTATTGGATATTTATTTTTAATATATTTTTTAAATAGTGCAGAATGTGAGAGTCAACTGGAGACAACTTGGTGATATTGTGAGGAGTAACATCTTCAGAGGAGTGTCAGCATGACCCCTCACAGTGGAGCTCTACTGCTGGTCTTCAGTGTCTCACTGTATGGTAGTCTGTGTGCTGCATCTTTAAATAGAAATGAAAGAGCCCACTTTTGGGCTAGCGTGGATCCAGAACCAGCTACCAGCTCACCATGGACGTCTCGATCAACAGAAATGGACATGACAAGTCCAACCGATGTATTACATTCAGATGGGACTAGCAGAGACCTTGGGGTGGACCCTTCAGTTGATCAAAACTCCTATGTCACAATGGAGGATCATGGTTTGTCAAGACTTCCAGCCTCAAGAACACCATGGATCAAAACTTTGACTTCTACTCAGATTGAACCTCCTTCAGATATCCAGAACGATGAAGAGGGACCTCAAACAGAGGCATCTGATTGGCCAAATTTTAGTAAGCAAGGCAATATGGAACAATCTTTTAAATCATCTTCACTGGCAACACTACAGCCTTTTTCTTCTCAGGCCTGGAGTACCAAATCCAAGACACCTATTGCTTGGAATACAGAGACATACACACCTCAGAGTCCTGCTGAAACTAGATTTAGCACCTACCAGACACTGTGGAAGTCCTCTGGTGCTACTCAGACACCATATGCCAGAGGAACTTTAGATGGTACCACTTTGCCAAGAGGGCTGACAGACAATCTGCAGCCATCTGAGGAAACAAAGGATTTGACAGATGCTCCTGCAGGTAATCAAATTAATGATACATCAGAGCCAACTCTGAACATGATAGTGTGTGAATGTATATCTATGTACGAAATACATGCAAAACTTTGCAAAACAAAAAACTTAAATCAAATGATTTTCCATGTTGGATCATGACGATTCATGATGTCGGCTCAAAAGAGTAATTTGTTTATGAATCCGATTACTCTTAAGACACTGTATGTTTTTGATTCACTAAAAAAAACTAGTAAAAAAAACAAGAGTAATTTGTTCATGAATCGGACTACTTATGACACTGTATGTTTTTGATTCACTAAAAAAAATCGGCTCAGAAGAGAAATTTGTTTGTGAATCTGATTACTCTGGTTGCACTGTATGTTTTTGATTCACTAAAAAGAATCGATCCATAAGAGTCGTTTGTTCATGAATCGGACTACTTAAGACACTGTATGTTTTTGATTCACTAAAAAAAAACAAGTAAAAAAAAGAGTAATTTGTTCATGAATCTGACTATACAGTAAGTGCACTGTTTGTTTTTGATTCACTAAAAAAAATCGGCTCAGAAGAGAAATTTGTTTGTGAATCTGATTACTCTGGTTGCACTGTATGTTTTTGATTCACTAAAAAGAATCTATCCATAAGAGTCGTTTGTGCATGAATTGGACTACAAGTGCACTGTATGTTTTTGATTCACTAAAAAGAATCGGCTCAGAAGAGTAATTTGTTTGTGAATCCAATTACTCTGGTTGCACTGTATGTTTCTGATTCACTTATGATTTGGCTCAGAGTCATTTGTGTTTATAGACACAATTATAGACTACAAGTGCCACATTGTATGTTTCTGCATGCAGACTTCAAGGACAACTCAGTAGAAAATAACTTATTGTCATTATTTCACAGTACAATTTTTTTTTTTTCTACATTGCTTTTAATACAATAAGAAAATCTACTCATTCACTTATTCAAATACTCAGGTACAATATGATATGATACTTGAAACACTGATAATGACATTTTAAACTGAATAAAATGTGTAAATGTACACATCAGAATTTTGTCATAAAGTGATATTGGTATCATTGCACTTTTACTGCATCTATTTGGTAATGCTGTTTTGGCATAATAGCTTCCGCTTAATGCCTGCGTCAGTATAGTGCATCCTCATTGTGCTCTTAGCTTACTCTGCTTGCTGTTCCTCAAGCTGCAGTGAAAACATCAGTATTCCAGCAGCGAACAAGCCATTCATCACTGCAGATGTGAGTGGGATACAAGCCCCCTAGCGACTCATTGTGAAACTTAATGCAATTTACAGCTTCTTTTGTATGAATCTTTTGGATTAAAGTTTGGCTGAGGATTATGGGTATAAAACAAGAACAAAAACAGGTTTAAATCAAATTATATGGTTTCTCTTTGAGCTAGCATTAGCTCTCAGTTCTGCTTGCTTGACAACAGGTTTACAATCCTATTTTCTCTCTCTCTCTCTCAGATAGTCTGACAGATCCGACTCTCAATGTGACAAATCCTGACCCTGAAAGAGAGGAGCGCAAGGGTGTTGACCAAGTGAAAAAGGACCAAAATGGCCAATTGACCACCACTGTGATCAAGGTCACTGAAACCTATCCGGAAGCAGGTACTGAAGCATTCATGGTCAGAATGACCTCTATTCTAACACATGATCTTATTCTGTTGGTGAGCAGAGAGCAAGAGCTTAGTTCTTCACAATGCTTCTAAATGTATATGCATCTGACAGATTGCAAGAAAAATGTATTTAAAAAATGAAGGTTTGCAATAGTTGAACCCAGGGTTTTGCATACAGTATGTAACCAGTTTTGTCATTTTGGCCTCACGCAAAAACAAACACAACCTTGTACTTGTAGTGTACTTGATTCACATGCAAATTACTATTATGAGCCAATTCTTTTTAGTGAATAAAAATGTTTTTGAGTCTCTTGTGCTTACAACGGCTACATTTATTTGAGAATACTTAAAATTTAAAATAACTGGTTTTAATATATTTTCTGTCTCAGAAATAAGATAAAACTAGCAGAAACTGCAAGGTGAGCTATGAAAGCTAATGCTGGATCTTAGGGGTTTAGAAAGTGCAGCTAATGAGATTTTGATTAAATATTGCATGATCTCTTCATTAACACTTTTCCCCTTATTTTGTTGCCCTTGTGGACAAAGTAAACCTGTCGTTTTTGACCACCCAAAGACATATTAAGGGTGGTGGTACTGAAATCTCTTCCTATGCACAAAGGTCAATCATTCAATCTTAAGAGGGGAAAACTCAAGCCAGATTCTCTGACCTTAATTAACACATGCTAAAGGCTAATGCTGACTCAGAGATTCAGCCCCAGTGTATTCTGGATCGTTACTCAAGTGGAAACACTTACTAATAATCTATATTAATCAATCAACCCTTCAATAAGCAATGAAGTGCCTTTTGATCCACAATTAGAGCAGGGTTTTGGTAAAAATGAGGCTGTATTCAGAAACACAAGCTTGCTACATAGAGCCACACCTCCTCACTTCCACGCACAGGTATTTAAGTGATGTAATGTTATGAAAGTGTGTCAGTTACTAGTTTTTAAATAGTCACACTCACGAGAACGGCAACAGGGTCAATGCCCTCTTATCTGTGCCGTATGTGAATGTGTGTCAGAGCTGAAGTGCGACCCATTTACAACAGCCTAGTTCCACATCTCTCTATAGCTAATGAACACAGTCACTGTTTTATATATTTACGGCTGATGGTGTATCTTCTTATATTAATGCTGAGATTCATGACCCTGGCTTACATACTGGAGCAATGCACAGCTATCTACTTAACTTTTTTTGAGATAATTTGTATTCTTCTAGATACAGGATTGTTATGTGAAACATCAGCGTGTGGTTTGTTGTGTGTTTTCTCAGCGACTTAAATACCTCTTGTGTTGTATCAAGTGTAACGTCATCATATGCCTAAAAAAAAACTTCATAAGCTGCTTGTGGAGAATATTAGCTTAGTGCTTTGTGAATATAACCTCATGAGTGCATAAACAGACTAAATCTACTTTAAAGCTGCATTACAAATCTTACACCATTTGAAAGGCAGCATTCTATAACTATAACAGTTAGTAATATGAAATGGTTCATTCAGGATTGTTTTGTTCATTAAAGTAATTTTGTAAAAAAAAAAAAAATGAAAATGTTTTTATTTAGCCTATTGTTTTCCTGGGTTTTTAGTGCAAAGTCTAACAAGTGTGCTAAAAATCTTAACTAAATATGTAATTAATAATATAAATAATTGAAAAAGAATGTTTGTGTTGTGGTTTCTTGTTACTGGTATGATCAATGTTATAAACTTTAATTTTGAAAATACAGTGAGTTCCAACAGTGAATGTTCCAATGCTCATCTATACAACATTGTTTAATGTTTGTGTGAAATATTTTTTAAACAAAATTACTGTTATATTTTATGCATACTTATACAGCTGGTAAAATAAGTATTGAACACATCACCATTTTTCTCAGTAAATATATTTCTAAAGGTGCTGTTGACATGAAATTTTCACCACATGTCGGTAACAATCCAAGTAATCCATACATACAAAGAAAGCAATACAAATAAGTTCAGAAATTAAGTTCTGTGTAATAAAGTAGAATGACACAGGGAAAGAGTATTGAACACATGAAGAAAGGGAGGTGCAAA